ACGGCCCAAGGTCAGTGACCCTTACATCAAAATAGGCGTCCTGCTGCCGCGACCAGAAACCCCTACTAGCCCGTATGTCCAGGCGTGCCTCTGGCTGACGATTCGCGGAGACGGCAGAGATGTCCTCACCGTGTAGCGGGAGCAGATGTGGCTCAACCTCCACATCGGGCAGTACCTCCTGCAGCACTCCCGCCAGGAGGTCCCGAAGCTCGTTATGGCGAGCCGACGGATAGCCGCCGGTCGGGCACGTGAGGGCGTGGTGGGTGGTCATGGACTTCCCACAGACACAATGATCACTTACACCGTCCAGTGGGAGACCATATCGTATGCATAGCGCATCTCTAAAATCCGACTTTTTCAGCACTGTGCGGTTTGTCCAAGACGGCTGTGCTGTTAACCATGTTGAGACGCCTTTCTCATCCGCTACCGCGAGCAGCTGCCGCTGGACAGGTGAAAGCCCCTCAGCCAGCTCCGTCTGCATCTGCCGGCATCCACCGATTTTTTCCTGGCGCTTTTGTCGGGCGATGCCTCGTGCCTCGCCAACGGCTTCTTGAACAGGATTGGCCATGCCCTCTGCGATGGCCACGATGCTCTGCGTGTTTTGGTCCGGACTGATGGCTGGAGAGTCTCGGACGCTCACGTTATGGTGGGCGTCGATCAGGTTCACCATTGACGCCGTGATGGCAAGTGATGCTTGATGGTCTGCCTCCGCAGACTTTGCTACCATCGGGATAGCCAGGCCCCCGAATCTTGTCGGGAGGGACAGAAGCTTTCTCAGCGAGCTGTCAGCTGCCATTCCCTTGCCCAAAAGGGCAGGAAGAAAATGATAATCCAATGCCTCATCTAGAGGGGCCAGGGTGACAGAGTTTATCGATGAGGCTCTCAAATGATAGTACTACTAGTACTAGTAGTAGTAGTACCTGTAGTACATGTAGTACCAAGAGTACATAACCCCGCGCCCGGGGTTATGTACTTAAGGGTTGGTTCACATATCGCCGGTACGCGCCGGGAGTCAACGGGAGTGGGCCTCTTGCAACCTCTCCCGGCGCATTACGATTATGTGAACCAGTGCAGTCGTAACAAAACCATACGGTAAAATATCGCAAGGGACCGCCGGCAAAGTTGGACAGTGCCCAACTCTTGCGATCTGCCCCGGCACCGATCCCGTACGATTTTGACCAAAAGTGGTTTGTGAACCGTTTGCGCCGGTGATCGCCGGCTGCCGGAAGCCAGACTTTGTCAAAATTTCAAACCAAGGCTCGTCCTAAATTTTCCTAAATTGAAGCTAGAGACGAGGTTCGTTCGCCATTCTTGTAATCGCTTCAAGTTGGCAAATAAGTCAGCATACCAACCGATCCTTTTCGGATGATCTGCTTGACTGTTGTGCAACTTATGAGACAAATACAATTGAAACAAATAAAAAATACGATGGATACATTGGCAAGTTCTTGTGACTTCATCAACGTTTGCATGCATAATCTCGACACCATTGCTTACTAGACTGCAATAAAAGGTGTAGAAGTAGTTTCCTGATCTCCAGTAAAAGGTAGCAACCAGTGGCCATCACCGAAACACCTTGAACTACTGAAGAAACAAAGAATTAATATAAATTCAAGCTTCAATTGGCAAACCTGTCGTAGCATTTGGACACATTCTGTACTACTTTGTAGTAGATTTGGTACTCAAACCGTATGCGCAACGGATCGGGAGCTGGCTCGCCGCCGATGTCTTGCGATGTCTTGCGATGTCTTGCGATGTCTTGCGATGTCTTGCGGCGCCGATTTTGCTTATGTGAACCAACCCTAAAACTAGTACTAGTACTCAGTACTAGTAGTAGCCTATGAGTATGAAAAGCCACCCTGGCCTGCTGACCCCGCGCCCGGTAGGCGGTACGTCGATCGTCCCTTGTACTTGTACTTGTACTTGTTGTAGGTCATGTACAGTCAGTCAGTACTCGTACCCTGTCCTTACTCTACCACAGAGTTCCCACTCACATGGGCACACGCATGATGTAAGAGTTATTCTCACTCTGATCTCGAGGAAGGATTTCCTGTAGGCTAGGCTGGAGTGGAGTGGAGTGACCATGGTGACGGCTGGAGTGAAGTCGATGCATCCCAGAACAACAGAGGTATGCAGCGGTGACACCATGGACACTGCACAGACTCAGCGAAGAGTAGGTCCACACCACCACTGCACTGTCAGTGTCACCAGGCAGGAACTCCCTGGTCTACACGCGCACTGTCGGTAGGTCTACACTGCTGTACTGCGGCTTGGTCAGTGCTTGCAAAACTACGAGTGGACCTAAACTAAAGTAAAGAGGCTACAAATTACAATACTCAATATATACTACATCCTAGTACATAAGTAATTAGTTGAGGGAGCAAAAAAAATTATGGTAAATCGATCTGAACTGTGTGTTTTCAGATGGCCAGACACCTAGAGAACTGGTCTGGGCTATTTCAAGGATAGGTTTATTATGTGGTTCCCCAGCTATGGGCGTGTTATTGTACCTATGTTTTTCGGCAAAATTTCAATGATTTCTCACTTAAGGCGTAAAATTCCAGTTGGTAATACTTCAAAAATCCTGAAAGTGGGTATGGAGGGGCCTACAATACTGTCTTCTTTGGAAAATGTCCACAACATATGCCCAGACCACTGTGAGAGGCCAAGGTAGCCCAGAATGTGATTTGGCAAAACGCGTATTTCAGCAGACCGGACTTTAGACTTGTTTGAATAGTGGAGAATCGAGACAATAACATGGTCCATTTTATGGTCATTATCTGCTCTTCAAGGCCATAGGAAGGCTCTACAAAAATAGATTTTTATGTCTACCATCTCGTTTCTCCGTGAGAAACAAAATTTGTGACGGATTTTGCATATTCAGCTTGAAAGTCAGATTCAGCATTGTTGCCAAAATGAGTGTATCGACTTCATTCAAGCTTCACTTTGACTATGTAGGGCGAGAAGCATTTGCTATAGACCAATCCCAGACAATACCACATGCAACAGTCACAACTGAATTGTGTTATTCACATCTTTGTTGTATATTGTGATGTACATACATAATATAATGTACATACATACATACATGCATGGGTATATCAAATGTACAAAACAACGGATTATAAGTATAACGCTGTCAATGAGCAACTTGAGTTGCTTGGTTACTGCTGGATGCGATGGCTAGCAGCCACTGTTGGTATTGTGGGTTCGCGCCTCCAGTGTGCAGCACAACGTGAATGTTTGAGCAGATAACTGCAGCATCATCACGAGTGGTAGAAAGTGGGGACGATGCTGCACCTCCTGCAGCTGCTGGAGTACTTGTGCGGTCTGGAGCAGTGTGTAAAATAGGGGTGTTGGTGTTGGGTCTTCCAGATGCTAGATGATGTGTTATGCGTTTTGCAATAGCAGAACTCATTGTGACTAGCACACGCCCATCGCCACCCGGTTCGTGCAATAATCCAAGGATGCCAGTTCCCTGATTCCTCTCAAATGCCAACACCAGATGATTGTACCTGTAGGCATGATATATAACGTTGTTGTTGTTGAAGAATATTTAGACTTCTACAAACACCCATGTTGCAGCGAAACGCCCACTCCAGCTTGTTTGCTGAGACTGTGACAGAAGCCTGACTAGTGCTGCAATGTGTACTGCTGTGATTCATGATTTCAGTTGACATTCCTTGCCTTGCCTTGCCTGGGTAATATTGCAGTTCTTCACAACATGCATAACACAATTTTATGCTGCATTTACAGTCTAGTTCAAGGCCGAGCTCATGAAAATGTGGCAACTTGACCATGCATAATATTACGTGTCTGTGACTGTCTCTGCTCAAGTTGTTCTACAAGGCATATTGCCAATATTTCAATATTCAGTTTTATAATATATACAGATTCCTGTCATAGTTCAATGATACAAGCACAGCCATACTACCTTTAACCCACAGCCTTCTCCTGAGAAACACAGGCACAGGTCAGAACTCACCCAGTGCAGCCTTAGAGTTCATAGGATCAATGCTTTCCACTCCATCCAGCATGAGACTCACATGTCTGACCAAATTCTCCTGCCCACACATAGAACACTTCACTGGCATGTCGCTGTGCTGTTCCTACTGGCTGTTCCAGACCACACTCATTACTCACAGAGATCAAGTCTCTACTTGCAGACACTACACTCTGACTCCACTATCTCCAGGTACTGCAGGTACAAGACCAGTTTTTCTCTCACAGTCGTCAGTAATATTTTTATCTGGCGACTGGAAAAGAAAAAATAGATATCGTTCCAAGTGCCACTCAAGTGGATGCACTTGAACTTGAGAGAAGCATGTCACTTACCTGCGTTCTGAGACTGATACATGTATCATTGGTAGCTGGGCTCTGGACAATCTTGCAGGTTTACTTGTCTTCACTGGCAGGCGAGACTGAGAAAAGGGCATATCTGAGCTGGAAGTTAGAACTACACGACCTGAAGAAGATTGAACACGCTTTGGTCCTGAGCGCCCACGAAAACGGCCGTGCCTATTGATAACTACAAGTACTTGACACGAAGCTCCATAGCTCCATCGATCGCCGACATCCAGCAAACCAAAATGGAAAACACAAAACGTTCAAACTGTTCAAGGACTGCAGTTTCTTTGAATTCTCGCAAAATAAACTTTTGAACACGACTATTTCTCGCAAAAAAACTTTCTCCAGCCTAGCCTAGCCGCGGACAAAATGTTTTCAAACGCGAAATTTTGCATAAAATCATGCCCAGATTTCGATGCGCGCGCAGAAGTACTGAGCCCCCTTAACTTCATAAGACTACAAATTATTTTGTAGGCCCATTTTGTTTTCAAAGATTGTGAAGGCCACATCACCATGATCACAGACAGACTCAGTCATACTCATAGTCATAGTCATAGCGAGCGAGCGCCCCACTCTATCTACTATCTAGTCAGGGAGCGGTTGACTTCGGAACTCGAGGTCGATCATCGCGTCGAGGTAGGCATTTGAACTCTACAGTCTCTACTCTAGTCTAGGCTAGTCTAGCATCACTGACTGTACTGCACTGGTAGACATACCATGGCATGTGTACAGCAAGGTGTTGCAGCTACTCAACGACGTTACGCGTTCAAGTCAGTTCAGTTCTGATGCAAGGAGGTGTGCAAGCAAAATGGCAGAGCAAGGCAACACGATGTCCCTGGCCGAGCTGCGGGCCAAGAAAGGTAACTCCCGTTGTTGATTTGTTTGTTTTCTCGCTGGGCGCTTGATACTAGCCGCTTCGTAGGCGAGGTAGCGCGCGTGTGTGGAGAACCTCAAAGCTGCGATGCCATTGCAAATGAATGGTGAGGATGAAGTCTGGTAGGTGTGGTGGTTCGTCAACCGCTTGTGTGTTCGTGCCTTTGTCTGTTTGTTGTTGTGTTCATAGCTGCAGCCAGCAAGCCAGGAGGCGGCCGAGGTGCCGCAACAAAACCGGCTTCGTCTACCCGGCCAACGGCATCGTCAGCGACGTCCGGGAGCAGCGCCAGCACAGCACGCCGCACTGGTGCTGCGGCTGCTATGAGCCGGCCGCCATCATCCGCTCCTCGTACTACAGCCGCCACAGCAGCAGCTAGCAGTAGTGCTGGAGCAGTGGGTGCTGCCAGTGTCGTCGATTCGGTGAAGCAAGAGCGAGCTGAGGCCAACCGCAGAGACTTGGCTGCCCAGAAAGAACGTCGTCTGGCAGAGGCTAAGGCAAAGGAGGCGCAGAAGCGACAAGCGGTAGAAGAGCGTAGAAAGCGAATGGAAGAAGAGGAGAAAGCTAAGCGCCTCAAGCAGGCCAAGGCTAGGGAAAGCCGAAGTCGACCAGACCTCTCCACGATTGGTGTCAGTGGAGGCGGGAGCCGTCGTCAGCCTGGAATCGGTGTCAGCGCGTCTTTGAGCCGCTCAACTGCCTCTCTGAGTAGCGGTGCGGGGAGAGCAGGTGGTGTTGGGTCGATGTTGAGCTCCTCAACACGGGAAATGAACACGGTGGGAACGCCTGTTGCCCATCGACCACCAGGTCACAGCACAGCAGCAGGTAGGACAGCAAGGCCTGGGACAAGTGACCAGTCCTTGCAACGCTCAGCTGGCAATCTCTCCACAATGACAACAACGGGTAGAGCAAGCAGCAGCAGCAGTGCTACTACTAGCAGCAGTAAGTCCAGGATACCTGGTCAGACCAGCGGCTCTAGGATCAGCATGACGCCAGGGCGCCCGTCAAGTTCAATGGCATCATCATCAGCGTCCAAATCCAATGCCACCGCTGCCGCTACTACAGGTCGCGAGTCTATGTCGGGGGGCAGCCGTATACCGCGCAAAACAGGCTCTGGCATTGCCACAACCGGTAACATGAGGGCATCCATGAGCAACCAGCGGCCGGGGCGCATGGATGCTGTGGGTGTTAAGGGCAATGTGAAGGGCACGGATAGGATGTCCAATGCCGCTGCCTTGCTGCGGCATGAGCATGAAGAATCCGAGCGGCTGGCTGCCATGGAACGAGAGCGTGAAGAAGAGGAGCAGAGACTGTTTGAGGAAGAGGAGCTGGCGGCGCGACTGGCAGTGGAGAGCGAACAAGCACTGGCTGTCGACGAGGACGCGGAGAAGCAGGCTGAGCTGCAACGAGAGCAGTTTGACGAGAACGAGCGGAAACGTGAAGAGGAGCGTGCCAGCGCAGAGCGCGAGTGGCTTGAGAAGATGCGTCGGGAGCAAGAGAAACAGAAAGAAGAAGCTGAAGCTGAAGCTCAGCAGCGGAGACTCGAACAGGAAGAAGAGGAGGCGAATGAACTTAGGAGAAAGCAAGAAGCTAATGCCGAGAAGGAGCGGATGCGACAGCAGCAGGAACTGGAAGATGCTGAGGCAGAGCGTCAGAGACAAAAACAACTCCTGCGTCAGCGAGAAGAGGAAAAGGAGCAGCAGCAGCAAGCCAAGCTACAACAGGAAGAAAGAAAACGCCAGGAAGAGCAGCTACGGCTAGAAAGGGAAGAGCAGAAAAGAAAGGAAGCTGACGAAGCAGAGAGGCAAAAAGCGGAACTTCAGCGCCGCCTGGCAGAAGCCGAGGCTATTCGCCAAGAGGAACTGGAGCGGGAGAGACTTTTTGAGCAGGAGAAACTCGCAGAAGAGGAACTGGAGAGGGAGAGACTTGCCGAAGAGGAACTAGAGAGGGAGAGACTTGCTGAAGAGGAACGATGTCAGAAAGAGCTCCAGGAGCAGCAGGCCGAAGCTGAACGACACCGGCGAGCCGAGCAAGACCAAATGGAGCGGGAAGAAGCCGAGCGTCAGGCACGGCGTGAGGTAAGCGGCGGCATTACGCAATACCACAGCTTCCGCCTTCATTGTTTCTACTCTTTTGTTGCATTTTGTATTTTCCGGTTAGAAGCCATTTTTCAAACTTTATTCCGACATAGAGGCATACACTTACTGATTTAGGACCCGCAAACACGAACTGGAATAGGACAGTTTGCCTCGAAGAGATGGAGGGGGGGAGGCAGCTTGTTCACCAGTGCAAACAATACCATGTATAATAGAGTATTTGTGCAGCAAACATTATAGTACGCTGTGAGATGTTCAATAGGTTACATTGGTTGGAAACATGCCATTGCCGATGTGGCTATAGGTGGCACCTTTCTTGTGCACGGTTGGCACCTGTGAGACTATAAAGTGCTGAGGCTCCTGGAGTTGTCACCTGATGCCATGCACCTACGCTTGCATTGTTGGACTTCACACGGTAATCTATTATAAAGTGCTGAGGCTCCTGGAGTCACCTTATGCAGTGTATCAACACTTGCACTGTTGGACTTCACACATAATCTATTATACTTAGCGCCTTTCATGTGGCGCCTTTTGCACTCCTGTTACTGGCAGGCCCCTTTAAAAGCCATTGCGTGTCACTCATCTTTTCATTCTAATTCTCCTCATAGTTGGTTCTACCTCGGACGGGACATAACAGAAAGTGTAAACAGTTTCCATTTCGGGCAGCAAGCCCATGCTGAGTGATGTGCTACAAGTCTGGTCCGTGCCATTGCCTTCTTTTCAAAATAACTGTGTGTGTGTGTGTGTGTATGTGCGCGTGGGTGTGCGCGTGGGTGTGTGTGTGTGTGTGCAGCGTATTCAACAGATCATGGACAAAACTCGTCGGCCGCTGTCTGGAACTCTACCTGTAAGAATGAAAACTGTTATTGTGGTGTATGAGAGTGGGGCTATTGGATAGCCTTGAAGGCCGGTTTTTCATCCTGTTCCTTTCCTTGTGCAGGAGTGCTTTTGTGTGCTTGTGCTAAACACCTGCCTGGTCCATTCCAATCCTATTGTTGCGAAATTCTGTTCGAGTATTACTATAACGTAATTCCAATGCAGGGTACCGGTGTTTCATAGGTTAGGTAGCAGGCTGTACACGCATTGCATGTCATAGCTAAACAATTAAAAAAAAGGACTTAATGGGTCACCTCAGGGACAGGCAAACTGACTTTTCTTTTTGCATCCGTGTGAGCACCACCACCTAAACCACCACCACCACGCTGTTAAGGATCAAGGGGCAGGTGTAGCTCCCAAGGCAGCGGGCTGAGCATCAGGCCCAGCACAAAGCTTAAACGTGGTAAAAGGCCAAGCATCCATGGGCATTCACCGCATCCATGTTACTATTGTGCCATTCATGCACGTTCCCCAACAATGTCATGCTGTAATTACATCACAGCAAAGTTCACTTCTTTACGTGTATTTTGTGTGCCGACAACCTACAGGAAAAGACGCCATTGGAAGCTAGTTCTGTGACTGCAACTGAGGTCACCGTAGCCAATGCTGCAGTTGCTGATGCTCCCACATTGCCACAGCAGCCACAGACTGCACTCTCGCAGGTATCCGGCAAGCAAGATCTCCCAAGAATCGGCACATCCGATGACATTGGCTCCACGGCTAAGTCCGAAGTGGATGAAGTTCACAGATACAATGCGGTCAAAGGCAGCACCTCAAGTTCATCGCTGTCTGCCGACAGCCGTAAAACAAGTTCCATCAGCAGTGTGAGCGGTATGGAGGAAGTGTCCGTTGTCGAACGCATCATCAATCAGAAGAAGAAGAAGGACCCGGACGATGACTGGGATTACCCAGACTCCTCGCCAGCTGTATCAATTGGTGACCTGCGTAGTGAGCTACGGGATGCAGAGGCCGATGATCAGCTGTCCTCTGGTCTGTCAGGTAATGAGCTTGAACACAGTACAAGTAGTATTGCAAGTAGTGTTAGCAGCAGAGCTGGACTGACTGGCTCCAACAAATCACTCGGCAGTGGGGTGTCTGGAACGCCGGCAGTGGGTTTGATCACTGCACCATCTCAACGGCAAACAACAATACCACCAGCCGCAGTGTCTGGTCGTCCAAAGAGTGCCGAGGTGTCGTCCATGCAACGCTTGTTCCAGCGGCCAATCAGCGCTGACAGCAGTAAGGCCCCTGAGAAACGCTTCACTTCTTCAATGACCACACAGGCAGATCCGATGGCCAACACAGGCGGTGACCGTGCGTCTGCATCACCATCCAGTGTCTCCAATCCATCACCATCCAGTGTCTCCAATCCATTATTTCTGACACGGACAAAGTCACCTGGGAAAGAGACCGCACAGAAAGAGGACTCGCGGATCACCCCGAGACAAGGTTTGTCTCTTCACGCCACGCCAACAGCAGCAGCAACACGGTTGGCTGCTCAATCCGTAGGAGTATCTTCCAGTGGTGCCTCACCAAATCAGCCTATAAGCCCTGTGCGTGGTGAAGCTACTCCGACCTCGTCCACCAGTGCTACACCGACTGCTGCTCAATCATCAACCACAACACCTCGCTGGGACTTTTCCAAACGTGCATCGCAGACACCGGTAAGGATGTGGTGTTTTCTTTCCAGCCCCGGGCGTACAATGCAATGCTACATGAGCTAGGAATAGGGTTGTGTGAAGACACCCAACACAAAGCCAGATATAAGGCACGGTCTTGATAGCAATATCCTATTCTGAATTCATACACTGTAGCTACATGTAGCTACACTGAGAATACACAGTGTGTGCGTCTGTGTGCGTCTGTGTGTGTGTGTGTGTGTGTGTGTGTGTGTGTGTGTGTGTGTGTGTGCTTGTGTGCATGCGTATGTATGTGTATGCATATGAATGAGCCCAGTATGGGTAATCTGTAAAAGTATTGGATATCCTAGGCTTTGACCAAGGTGCTTCTACCCACCGACGCACCTTTCATGTTATGTACACGCACTGTGTAGTACTGACTTGTGTCCTGAGGCAAATGTCTAGTTGCAAACAATCTGATCATATTGTACTTGTCCGTGTATTCTGTTTTCTCCAAACCATCATGTGTGCAGACGGGTCACACTGGCAGCAGCCCATACAGCTCATCCACAGCCGATGTGCACACTACTCCCGTCAACAGCATCGCACATGTACAGTCAGCTACAGGCTCCCAGGAGAGACTATCGCCATTGCCACCAGAGTCACCTCCGCCAGCTCTGCCCAGTGAATCGCCACCCGGCACACCGGCAAGCAGAGCCAGTCCCAGCTCCAGCTCGCCATCCCCGCAACGTAGCTCCGCAGATTCTGGTTTAGATGACACGCCTCCGGAGCTACCTGGGTCACCACCACCCGGACTGGACAGCAGAGATGCACCGGAACTACCAGGCTCCTCGCCTCCCGATGCAGGCCCAACACTACCAAGCTGTTCTCCACCTGATACAAGCCCAGAGCCGCCGCAGTTGCCTGCTTCTTCACCGCCTATCACCTCCAGTGCCAGCTCTGTAGCATTGCCTGTGACTAGAGAGGTATCACCACATCCACAGCCGGTGCCACGCTCCAGGACATCAGTGGACCGCAGCATTGGCGCTGCGCAGCCTATCGTACCTACAGCCACTCCCCAAGCTGCGCCGCGGAAAGCGTCGGTGACCAAACTTGCCGCTTCACCGGACGAAGTGAGCCGCAAGCTGCCAACTGTCACTTCACATGCTGCTCCTGTGTTGGACATGTCAGGGGAAGTACAGCATGCGAATGCTGGCCACACTGTGACAGCTGCTGCATTCGTAACTGCAGAACCACACTCGTCCAGTACGACTCACTGGCTCGAGGTCGAAGAGCGGATGGAGCGGACAATCGGGGACGTGCACCAGTTGCTGAAGAATCGAGGCGTACCTTCGATCCCTGCTGGTGAAGGTGAGGATGAGCTATGGAGGCAGTTGCTGACAATCAAGCCGGTGAGCACCGCATCTCCGAAGCACATACCTAAAGATGCCAGTGAAGAGGAGATTGTATTGAATAGCGAGGGTGATGAAGACGACTACGACGACGACGATGACGACTATATAACCAACTCAGAAGACGACATGCTGGATACTGATGATGATGGCCTGGTCTGATTGCATAGGCAGTCCAGGCTGTGAATGATCTAATTCCATAGCCAGTCCAGGCTATGAGTGATCTGATTCCATATGCAGTCCAGGCTGGGAATTGATTTCGTGGGCAGTCCAGGCTGGGAATTGATTTCGTGGGCAATCCAGGCTGTGAATGATATGATTCCATAAGCAGTCCAGGCTGTGAATGACCTGATTGCATAGGCCGTCTAGGCTGTGGATGATCTTATTCCATAGCCAGTCCGGGCAGTGAATGATCTGACTCCATAGGCAGTCCAGGCTGTGAATGATCTGACTCCGTAGGCAGTCCAGGCTATGAGTATCCTGCTACAAAGCAGTGTGCCTGCAATCAGCTTGACGTTAATAATTGAAACCGTCCAATGGATACAACATGCAGCTGCTTGCCAGCAGTACGCTACAGACCAGTGTCTCTAGACCAGTGTCTCTAGACCAGTGTCTCTAGACCAGTGTCTTCAGACAAGCATCGGTCTCTGACCAGTAGCGTCTCTGATCTCACCGCCCATGGACAAGGACTGCATGCATTGCTAACGGAACTGCCTTTTCGATTATTTACCCACTAGATAACGGATACGTAGACTTGGAACTAGATCCTGGTCTCTTGAATCGTACCCAGCACAGTGTACCACGGTGTACTATACAGGAGATAGAATGTTTGTGACGCCCAACTGCACCGCTTTCAATCACTTGCCCTATTTGCCCGATCATGCTGTGGATGTGACATAGTCCCTGTTCGAAGCCATTGTGGTATTATTATGTTTACAACGGAGTTGGCTTTCTCACTAAGCACATTGCATTTAGCACATTGCTGTCGGCTTTTGCCGGTGCTCATTCATGCATGGCGTGAATTGAACATGGTGTCGCCAGCAGGATAATGCACGTGGCAAAATGATCTCTGGACGCTTCCACCGTTCCTCATCATGTGTTGTGAAAAGAGTACTTACTTAGTAATTTGAAGTAGGTTTCGTGAATACTACACCTGTCGTACTCGCTGTAGTACGGTTTCTAATTTCTTCTTGTTGAATATAATTATTGTTATCTCTGGTCAGGCGGGGATTTGTCATGGATATGTTATGTATAAGAGAAAAAAAAACTAAGAAAACTAGAGTAGTAAGATGAGAAGAATTTTTTTGCCAGAAAGCATCAGGCCACTAGAATGAGCATGAAGGGGGGGGGGGGGGGTGGAGTTGGTGACAGCACAGGTGTGCGCACTGTACAAATCCACCTGCTGAAACTAATCCACAGCCACCTAGTGAAACTAATCCACAGCCACCTAGTCAACCTAAACAACACACCTACTGCCTAGTACTGTACTGACTAGAAAGAGAAATTGGAAAAGAAATGCTGGAAAGGAGCCCAACTAAGCAGCACTACGTTGAAGCTATGCAGGACCACTAAGCAGCGGAGCGCTAGACCTAATGATTTTTTTTATAAACCTAAGGGAAAATCACCACCCAGGATTGAAGGCAGCAGCAAGCACCAAAAATCAGCAGCAGCAAGCATCAAAAATCATTCATCGCAAAAAAAATGTGTCTACCAAAGTAGATTATACCAAAATGAACAAGAATATGTCATGCTTTGAGAAATAGAAAGCAGCAATAACAAAAATTTAATAATAATTACCAAAGTAACAGAAACGTTGGAAACCAGAAATTATTAATTTTTACGTCGGCAAGAGGCTCAACAGATATTCATAGAGACTGATCAGATGTTTTAGGCATGATAATAAATAATACTTCGGAAGGACTGCAGTGTGTACAAAAAACCCAGATTAGGAACATGGAATGGCAAGTATTTGGCAAACCGTGAACTCCAGTCATATCGGACAGTGTGTGCAATTGAGCAAAAGGAAGGCATTGGTAGCAAGCTGAGGCTTCATTCGTACCATGCACGCCTCTACCAACACAACCAGTGCAACATCTACGAGTTGTAAGTGCGCATTGCCAACTCTATGTGGTCCATGGTCACACAACACTATCTACAGCGTGGCAAGTGAGGTGAGTTCCGGAGGAGAAAAGGAACCATCGAAACTTGACACATCACCTCTCCGTAGCGTCAGAATGTTCGGAAAAGTCGAACCGCTGCTACAGGAACAAGGCAAAATGGAAGTTTCATCAAAGCTTGCGTCATAGTCAACTGAAATCTGCGTAAGTGATACCTGTGGCGGGATTATGCCCAGGGGCCTCAGGCAGCCAACACCAAACACCTTCGCCGGCCGACAAAATAGACAATCAGCAGGCTCGTGCGGAGTAATGCCGCACTCCTGCCGTTCATAGCAACGGGGATTCTACAAAAACAGAACGATAGACACACCAACATAGAGAAAGGAGACTTTTAAAAGGCAACACAAGAGACGCCATTCCAGAACAAGAAACACAGTCAGTAATACCACAGTATATCCGTTCATAATATCAATATCAACGATGGTATAGGGGTAAAGCAAATTATGTCATAGTGGGGAGTCAGCAGAACCGCTTATGGGCGCTAAGCACACAGCGTGAGTCGCTACTGCAGCGCTGTGCCGCGACTTTGCCAAAGCATCTCAACTGACGATGTAATCGCATAACCTCTATGGCCACAGATTGAGTCAATACTGGATTTGCCTTTTGCAATCACACGTGGAATGTTGGTCCACAGAGTCCAATTCCTCACAAGGCAAACCATGGAGGCATGGGACCATGGCAGAGTTAGTGTCAGTAGGTTTAAGACCAGGCCAGTTTCTACAGTCGATGTACAGACACGTGCATGTCTTCCCGTTGGATTAGAATCCGGCTTACAGCGTATAGCCAAATAGAGTGCTTTCACATCTATCACGTGACCACACACGCGGCAGCTATGTTGTTGCCAAATCCACTCAACCCCTGTGCCTATGGGTTACAAGATGTCGGCCATGTTGGTTGCACTGTCCACATGCCATGATCACTTTCTACACAATGTAGTCACATGACAAAAGATGTGAACACCACTCTATAGGTAAATCAGGCTTGAATAAGCCCCAACCTCAAGTGTTTTTCATGGACTATGCATGTGGGTAAAGCGTCATGGCTAAGCAATTCCTAGAGTACACTGTACCACTACAAGGCACTCACCGACGCGATAACCGAGTGTGGGTAACGGTGGCCCAGCACGCAGATCTTTGCACTTTCACTGCTGGCGTGCTCTTCGCACACAGGGAACACATTGTCCTGTGATACAAAAACAAAAAAACAGACAGACAGACCCCACAGTCCATGTTTACTCCAGACCAATGCTATTAGAGTGAATGATGGACCAGTGTGAAAATTACAAAATGCGTTTGCACGGCTCATTGAGTCAGTCAACTACCCGCACCACAAGTTACACAAGTTCAAGCACAGGCATCAAGTATCAACCACCCGGTCTCGATGGACAATTGGAAATATTATGTAGATCTGGGCAGTTGCTTACCTCCATTGCAATAGTATTCCCCGATTCCTCAGGGTAGAAGAAGTCGAGATCACCTGCCACGGTAAGCGTACACCTACGATCCTGCGTGAAACACACCATACACGCAGTCAGCATGCCGAGTAATCAAGCCATGAACAAAACATACAGTCATGTATTTTGTATTTAATAGCGTCTCACTTTCCATCATGAACATGTTGCACAGCAAGACCCACATGTTTTGTGCCCGGATATAAACATGTGTGCTTCAAAATCTACTCAACACGCTGCTCATAAAACACACCAATGTGACATTGGGCAACTCACAAAGCGCTCGAAGAAGTGAACTAGGCCCTTGCTGAGCAAAAGCGAGTGGCGTGCTCTGCTGCATGCCACATACGCCACGTTGACCTGCTCAACTTCGATCCCGGAAGAGGAACGGTGCCCAGCAAAGTATTGTTCCACATCTAGCTCGGCAGCTGCAAGACAAATGCACACACACACACACACACACACACACACACACACACACACACACACACACGCACACATTAACTACAACACACAGCAGCTTGCGGTTAGGAGGGTGCTGGCCAGCGAAGTGAGAGGCTACAGAGAGAGCAGGATCTTGGCGGAGCCAAGAGGATAGTCACGTCCAAGGGACGAAGACCGAGAGCCCTGAGTAGCCGGAAATGAGCATGGCCAACACCCCTTTATTTACTTTATCAAAGTAAATGAGAGATGAGAAATGGGAGGTGGGTGGGTGAAACACAATGATCTGACAAGAGTGATCCGCACACAGAACGAATCGAAATATAATACACACTACGAGCAAGGAAGAATGATTGTCGCAGAGAACGGATCGAAAATATATAGCAGAGCAAACTCTAGCAAGACATGCAACGATGCATGCCACCCACGTTAAGCTACGAGCAAGCGTCATCATAACGCAGCCACACGCCTTCCACATCGGAGGCGAGCGACACGCATGAACGCCAAACTTTAGTATGGCACGTTGAGTGCCTACGACGCATGCCGCCTACGTTGAGCGTCGCGCATGAATGAATGTCGCGTTGAGTGTCACGTTGTATGACACATAGAATGCCACGATGCATAGAGTACCATGTGAGCACGTACAGCGCACGTTCATAGCAGCATAGTTTGAGTGGTAGCACGAAGCAGCCGCGTGCACCCATTAATCTGCATTATTACTATAATGCTACACACACACACACACACACACACACACACACACACACACACACACACACACACACACACACACACACACACACACACACACACACACACACACACACACACACACACACACACACACACACACACACACACACACACACACACACACACACACACACACACACACACACACACACACACACACACACACACACACACACACACACACACACACACACACACACACACACACACACACACACACACACACACACACACACACACACACACACACACACACACACACACACACACACACACACACACACACACACACACACACACACACACACACACACACACACACACACACACACACACACACACACACACACACACACACACGAGGCCACCCAGAATTAAATCTTTATTTCGGGTCACCCGACCGACCGTCATTTTTCACCCGGCCGCAACATGTTTTTCTTTTAGTGTGCATGTACTATTGTACATGACTGTACACACGCAATCCTAATGATCTTAACCCTGCGAACGAAACACAGCAAGGAGCAAGGAATGCTTCCGAAAGGATCTCGGGCATAGGTTTCAAACAGTCTCACATCTCAATTTCGCTTCCACAGAGCATTTTTCAGAGCAGCCAGGAACGAAATAGAACATGTTCTAACAATGCCAGCGGTGCGTGCGTACGTGTTGGACGGGACAAAACTTTCTGCCGACGGTAGGGCCTTTTGTGTCGAAAACTCCCAGATCGTAACGGAAGAGATTTTAGATCACATCATTCCTGATCCGCGGATCGCGATCGATTTTCAGCAGTCCAGACATCGACCTCGGAAGCAGCCAAATGGCAGGATGCAGTGTTTGGCGACGACGTTGTCTTCTATTTTCGCCGATCCGCAATCGGTCATGAAACAGCACCAGCTCAGTCTCTGATGAGAGCTTTTCTGAGAGCTGCTCATCAGACTCGTTGGCCAGCGGGGCCAAGATCTGGTCCTGAGTGGACAATGACAGCGCTGGATCATCTACGGTCAGATTTGATCGACTGGCTTGATGGACAAAAGCTTGGATATTCGATATGCACAATCTACATGTACATAATGGTCATACATGTAAGCACATGGCAGAAACCAAAATTAAAATAAAATTTTAAAAAAACCACCCGACCCGACCCTGGTAAGGATGAGTGAAGTGACCCGAAACAACGAATTAGTTCTGGGTGGCCTGACACCACATGTAAGACACACACGCATGATACCGTGCGCACGCACACACACACACACACACACACACACACACACACACACACACACACACAGGCACACACATGCACACACAGACAGACATACAGACACACACACACGGATTTACCGCCATTGCACGACTACAGTGAAACCTGTCTAAGGCGACAACTCAAGGGACGAGAAAAAGTGGTCACCTTGGCCAGGTGGTCTTCTTATCCAGGTTCAGTGGGTCACGTGACTATATTCACAATATACATGACGTGACATATCATTTTGATCAGTGTATCACACTGGACACACCTATGCTACTATGCACGACTCATGAGACATGTGCCTGGGGGCCTCAGAGGCTCAGACCTGCCAAGTATCCTGCATGCGCCATGTGCATCTACGTTTCCTGCGCTGATGTGTAGATCCTCCATACATGGTGCACAGTGCAATGCGTGCATGTAAATGTACATGTACTTCGAAGTAGCAGTGTGCAAAGCAGTCGCGGGTGGGTGGTTGTCGGTCGTGTTGAGCGAGTGGTCGCCTTATCCGAGCTGTTCTGAATGTAAATGCGTCCGTGACAAGGAAAAGTGGTTGCCATGGTCGAGTGGTCGCCATTACAGGTTCTACTGTGTATGACCCTCTAGATCCGAAAAGGGGGCTTATGTCGTTTCGCGCAGTATTGAGAAAAATGCATTCGAACCTTGAGCTTTCCATATTAAGCGATGTATAATTCACTCATTGAAACACCCATAACTCTGTCAATGATAAGGATTTTGGACCTAGGTTTTTTACAGAGTGATCTGCTGGGCTACAGCAGTGCCATTGCATAGAAAACTCAAAATGCATGACAAAAGCCTTTTCGGATCTAGAGGCTCATAATATAAGATTGGATTGAAAAAAACTACACGGTTGAAAAAGGACACTGCTTGAACACAACACCAGACCGAGGGTTAGAGGCTGAGTGAAACAAGTGCAGACCGGCTAAATATTAAAACTTGTGGAAATACAGTTTACTGACCCTGGGATCACAACCTCTCGATAGATTACCAATTTACCAGACAATCGTACTAGGGAAAAGACGCCAGTAATGTAAATAGGAAACGACTTCAAGGCTGCTGCTCCGTGGCTTTAAATACACTACTGATACCAGAGTGAGCTGGTGTAGGTCAACACAGTCTCCTAATCACCAGCTTCAAACTCAAGACCACAGTACACGTACATAGTATGCAAACATGCATGCCTGGTGCAGCAGTAAGCTTAAATAGGTGCACTTCTGAGTTCTAACTAATGCTAAGGAAGTGTTGGACGTCTTCTCAGGTTTTTAGTTCTTCAACAATGCATGCCTTGAAAAGAATACCAAGTGACCAAGATTTCAACAGAAACTCACCGCCAAAGATATCCTTTGCCAAGATGACATGATCAAGAGTTCTTCCCTTGGCCATATGCACTGTGGACAGTACAACATCTGAGAGGCATTGGGAAAGAAAGCGATAAACAGAGAAAGGGCGACAGCAGGAGAGAGAGAGGGTCAAAGGAGAAGGGAGAAAGAGAGAGATGGATAGATAGATGGATGGATGGATGGATGGATGGATGGATGGATGGATAGATAGATAGATAGATAGAGAGATAGATAGAGAGAGAGGGGGAGAAAGAGAGAATAGAGAAAAGAGGAGAGACGCAGAAAGATACAGATAAGAGAGAGAGAGAGGAAACCAGGTCTACTTGGCTCACTGCAAACATCTGTCACACAGCACGGTGCGCCTAATCTAAGCGTGCCTGACACGCAAAACACATGTATTTACAGTTATCAACAACAGCTCTGCTCTGCTCTGTTCTTGTCCTGCCGAATTCCCGGGCTGAGTCCATGATACGGAGTTAGGTGTACAAACAATAGAGCTACAGCGGTGCAAAGACCTCAATACATGTACCGTCAAGTGCCGCGAGAGCACCCAGCCATCTCGTCCTGTCATGGGCGTGTTTTGGAGGTAGTGTCCTGTCTGTAGGTCATGCGACATATACCTTGTACACACATTGCACGCTGTGCAGTCAATCCATACTCAGTTTACCTTCAAGCGGATGCGGGCTCCATACAAAAAACACATGCCAAGAGTGACCTTAGTACACCAAGGTTCCCTCAGTTCTTCAACTTCCCTGCCATACGATTTCGTTTCCTTGGCTGTAAAATCAAGGTGCGCGCTCTTGTGAGACGGGGCGTTCTCGCGGTACTTTACGGTATTACATTAGGAAAAGCTCGCTGTGTTTCTTGCAGTAAAAGTACTCTCACTTTGAGCCAATCTAAAAAGTAAAATGCTTTGCTGTTCATTAATTAAACTTCATTGCCTGAATCCAAGATTAAATATAGGATAGAGAGATTAAGTGAGTTGGGCAAAGGACATAAACAGGCAAGGTGTAACAAAGGTGTGAAGAAGGCACTTACCAGCTGTTTCCTCATTGGTATGAACCTTCTCCTTCCACATAGCTACTTCGAGCATTTTGCTCAGATCTTTACAATGGTACTTCTCCACAATCTGTGCACAACCCACATGAAACAACCCCTCCAAGCATTCAAAAGTAGTTCAAAGAACACACGCACGCACGCACGCACACACACACACACACACGCACACTCAAGGACACAATTCGGCATATACACACAGTCATGACTTGCTGGCTAGCTTCTGCATGTGACAGTTGCTGGGAATATCAAATGCAACTTTGGGTCATTGGCTAGCAACACCAATACACAGCCCGAGTAACCCTCTACTTTAAAAAGGACCGCATATCCGCGTACATCACTGAGCTGTATACAGTCGTCCCTCTCTAATCCGGCGCCTTTTGCTACGGCATTTTCTGCTGGATTAACGAGGGTGCTGGATTAAGAAATCCTGCCCTCTGACCCGGCCCTACCCAATTGCATGTATCATACGTCAAAACGCAGGGTTTTTCCGTGTCGACCCCAGTATTTGGTGCACGGCTTTATATTCTCAACTTTTCTCCAGGAATATACACAGTGATAAAGTACAACAGAGAACATGTTCACATGTATACGTACTCTTGCACACACACGCACAGTCGATTTACGACTGCCGGATTATGAAATCAAACTACGTGCAGTTTGAGCGATTCGTTTCAAAAAGTCACTGCCGGAGGCGGAATTCAAGTGCCGGATTAAGATGTAGGAATTGAACGAAAAAAATCGGTTTCGTCAGAAAGTGCGCCGGTTGGCAAGGGTTCCGGATAAACAAGTGCCGGATTAGAGAGGGACGACTGTACTATCATGACCGTAAGAAAGTCCCGTAAAATTCCGTAAATAAGCCTACCCTAAATAACGCCCATGCCCGATAATAAGCCCAGTTTTAGGCGGTGTACACTTCAAGTCTGTTTTAGCGCCCATGCCCGAAATAAGCCCAGGGCGTAAAGTGGACTCAAAATGACCAGCGCGCGAGCGTGCGTTCGCGTACAAACTGTAGAACAGTTGTAGATCGAGTGCGTGCCATCCAACTGCACGCAGCACAGTGCAGAGTGGTTTACCTATCAAATCTGTAATTTATCGCTACATTCTTGGTTACGACCAAATTTCCAGCTGTGGTTTGATGTACCTGTACCGCGCTCAGCGTGAATGGTGGTTCACTGAAACTAGTGGGTTGCTGATAGATTGATCTTCTGCAGACTACGTCCGAAATAACGCCCATGCCCTAAAATAAGCCCATGCCCAAATATACGTCCGGTTTTTGACGCTCTGCAAAGTTTACGCCCGGGGCTTATTAACGGAATTTTACGGTATTAAGTTGGCCGTGCTACATCTAACCCTACATACTACATAGCAGTTCACACTCAGGATACTTCGATGATCATACAATAAGCAGATCTACGCGAGTCATGATTAGCCCTACGCGAGTCATGATTAGGCCTACACGAGTCATGATAGACCTACACAAGTCATGATCGACTCATGATATTCATTATTGATAGACCTACACGAGTCATGATAAAACCTCACAATCAAAGCAAACCCGCTCCAATGGGTGGTGGTATGCTGCTGACGTGTACGTGCATGCAGTAAGATCGGGCGCCAAAGAACGCAGGGGCTCAAGGCGCAGCCTAGCATTGTTCTAAAATTCTCAAATGTTAGTCGTTTTGTTCTTATTCCGCAATCATGCAGAGCATACAATACGACCATGCCATGTGAAAAACATGAAGAAAATACATGCGTTCCTAAATCTGAAAATCTAGCCTCGATTGTTCTTAGATTTGTTGCAATTCCCAGCCTTTGTCAGTGTTCTTTGGCGCCGGATCTTACTGTATGCAAGTACAGTACATGTATGTCATGCATGGGGGCTAATGATAGACACACAGAATGAATGAACGATGTAAGAGAGAGAACATATGAGAGGATTCACGCCACACAACAAAAGCACCACCAAGCACAAGCAGCAAGTACGTCAGCCAGGCAGCTAGCCCTTGGGCGGTTTAACTCACCGAAAAACTTTTGACCATGCAGCCAGAGCCTTTCATCTCCATATTCCTTAGCTGGAAGTATTGCTTTTTAGCTGTCGGACATAGTGTGTGTGTGCACAATTATCAACATCGCATGGTTAAAGGGGAAGTTAAGCCTAAAATCAAATGTTCACCGTTTGTAGTCTTCGGGGTGCTGAGTCGAATGGTCTTGGTCCGAGGAAGCTGGGATGCTCCCTTCCTCTTTTATTCCCAATCGAACTCGGGCACTTCCACCGAAACTGGGTGACTGCGCCCTACTAGATGGGGATTTGTATGGAAAACGTCACTAAAAGCGCTATTTCGTTCTTACAAAGCACGGATGAACGCGATTGGCCCATATGTTGCAGTCTTTTGGATGCTGAGTCGACTGGTTTTGGACCGAGAAAGCTGTGATGCAGTGTTCGGCCCTTATTCCCAATCCAACATGGTTGAATAAGCGGTCACGTGCTCATGTGTACACCAGCCACCTGGTCACCGTGCCTGCAGGCTACAACTTTCACACCAAGGTTCGACTCAAAGGTTCAAAGGTTCAACTCGAGTGATAGGAACGCGCTCAAACAGGCTGTCAGTTGTAGCCTGCAGGCACGGTGACCACGTGACTGGTGTACACATGAGCACGTGACCGCTTATTCAACCATGTTGGATTGGGAATAAGGGCCGATCGCAGCCTTCTCGGGCCAAAACCAGTCGATTCAGCATCCAAAAGACTACAACATATGGGCCAATCGCGGTCATCCGTGCTTTTATAAGAACGAAATGGCGCTTCTAGTGATATTTGCATACAAATCCCCATCTACAAATTGTAGTAGGGCGCAGTCACCCAGTTTCGGTGGAAGTGGCGAGTTCGATTGGGAATAAAGAAGGAAGGGAGCATCTCAGCTTCCTCGGACCAAGACCATTCGACTCAGCACCCCGAGGACTGCAATTGGTGAAAGTTTGATTGTAGTGTTAACTTCCCCTTTAAAACATCATTCAGTCATGTGACCCCAGTGGTCAACACTATACACGTACAAGCATAGTTTGCCTGTTCAGCTATGTGAGCCAAGTGATCAACCAAGCACAACATCAGGGACTGCATACACTACTCATAAGAACAACACAGCCCTACATGGTATGTGAGTGCCTGCAGCATGGTTACAGTTATCATCAGTTCACACAAAAGTGTATGTGTCATCTGTGGCCACACATACACTTGCATATGGAATGTTCCACATACTACAGAGCTACAACATGCCAACATGTGTGTGTATGTGTGTGTGTGTGCGTGTGTGTGTGTGTGTGTGTGTGTGTGTGTGTGTGTGGTGGTGGTGGTGGTGGTGTGTGTGTGTGTGTGTGTGTGTGTGTGTGTGTGTGTGGTGGTGGTGGTGGTGGTGGTGGTGGTGGTGTGTGTGTGTGTGTGTGTGTGTGTGTGTGTGTGTGTGTGTGTGTGTGTGTGTGTGTGTGTGTGTGTGTGTGTGTGTGGTGGTGGTGGTGGTGGTGGTGGTGGTGGTGGTGGTGGTGGTGGTGGTGGTGGTGGTGGTGGTGGTGGTGGTAGTGGTGGTGGTGTGTGGTGGTGGTGTGTGGTGGTGGTGGTGGTGTGTGGTGGTGGTGGTGTGTATGTGTGTGTGTATGTGTGTGTGGGGGGGGGGGGGGGGGTGCGTGTGTGTGCGTGTGTGTGCGTGTGTGTGTGCTTACATTTTTGCTGATTGGGTGAGTTGAGATTCATCATGTTAGCATAGATGCTGTGTAGCACCTGCAGTCGTCTCAATTTGCTCCAAATGTTCTAAACAAGAAGAAGATGTCAGATGAACACAAAGAGCAATACATGTAATCCCAGAGAAGCCCACAACAGCAACTGGCGACAAATGAAGATAGATCCACAGCAACAGCTATTTCCCCCATAAAATAGAGCATGGCATGCTTTCTGTACATGAGTCCTGCAGCAGAATCGCTCACAATGAGCCAAGTTGAAGTACATAGTGGGCCCGCAGCTGCCTGATGATGGGCGATGGCCAAAAAGTGTTCAACCTAAAGTGACGTCTGCGAGAGACGGTGCTTGGGTGTTTAGATTGAGGCAATGCAGCCAGTAGTCTCTTTACCTGCATATTGATGTACACACGCAAAGGTGGCTCAGAGTCGGAATCATTCAGAAACACGTTCAGCGCATAGTCGATCAGCGTCAAGTTTTCCTTTGCTAGAACGTACACCTTTTCAGGAGGTGGGCGCACAGTTCCGCACAGAGAATCTTGAGCTGCATGTCCCACAGGAATAATATGGAAAAGAGCCAAAAGACAGTGATTATCAATCACCATTACAATAATGCAATAAAGAGCCGCAGACACATACATATGCGTACGCGCACACAGACACAGACACACACATGCACACATGCACACACACACATGCACACATGAACACATGTACACACACACACACACACACACACACACACACACACACACACACACACACACACACACATGCACACACACACACACACACACACACACACACAGACACACACACACACACACACACACACAGAAGACAGACAGACAGACACAGACACAGACACAGAGACACAGAGACACAGACACACACAGACACACACACACACATTTGAACCCATCACGACCACCGGGCAGGGGCGTGGAAAAGCAATTACGAATTTACAAGCGAACACGAGCAGACTTTGATCTTTCACGGGATAACATCAATACAGCACAGGCAGAAAATAACACATGATCGGAAGAGAAAGTGAGACCTATCTGCATATCAACAGGTTACTACACTCATACCGGTATCTCTCTTATCCGCACCTCGAACTTACAGACACCTCGGTCTACTGAGGAGCACCCTGTGGGTGAGTTTAATAGTGGAAATATTACTACTACTCGTTTGCCAACTCTAGTGGAAACAGTGACGGCTTATGGCAGATCTCTGGCCCTTCCCCATTGAAACATATGTGATTCAGAGTTAAAGACATTTCAAAGTTATGGGCAATGCTCGGTCCTGGAGTGCCCGGATAAGAGAGATATGAGTGTTGTCTATCCTTACCTTGCGACGGAAGGAGACCGGTCAAGAAGCTGCCACCATTGCCTTTGTTGAGACGTAGTAGCAATGACGAAAGAAACGCGATGTTCGGCCCGAACCTGAAAGACTGGCAGGAGATAGCAAGAGGAAAAAGAGATAGAATAAGAATGCTGTCATTACGTACTGGGCACATCAACACTGGACACCTACTGTACAACATGACGCATGCTGTCATTACGTACTGGGCACATCAACACTGGACACCTACTGTACAACATGACGCATGCTGTCATTACGTACTGGGCACATCAACACTGGACACCTACTGTACAACATGGCGCATGCATCCAACTACAGCTACGGCTACACAAAAGCATACAAGTACACACAAACATATTTGTGAAACAATCCTTCACACAGACACACACACACAGCCCCAGGGTGTCTGGCTGAGGGAGGTGTGCGGATACGGGATATCCGGATAAGAGAGGCTCTACCATACAGTGCATGCGACATGTGGAGTATATTGCATTCAGTGGTGCCACCTACTTACTTCGGTCAGCGAAAACGACTTGGTGGCCGAAATAGACGGAAATGTTTCCGGCCGTACGTGGTTAAAGCGATATATGGACTGGTTGGGGTCACCCACAAACACAAGTCCACAATTCGATTTCTGCTGCAATAGCATACTAATATCACCTAACACAACAGAGCAAAAACAACAGAACACGAAAAAGGGAACTAAGAAACATTTTGTTTATAGAAGTACTGTAAAAGCCATTATTCTAACGAGGCGCATATATAACGATTTCCCAAAATTGACTAGTTTACGTGTACCAAAGGTAACGATTCTCACTCATTCTCAACGCTATGCCTGAAGTGTTGAGAACCAATTTTGATGACCTCGTGTTTGTGTGTGCATGCTAGGTCGAGTGACTTTCGGGGCTGTCCGATTATCTTTTATGCATAAAATCAAGAGTAGATAAACAAGAGTGTGCAACTCCGGATCTCTTCTGCACAATCTTCAGATACCGACGGAATTTTTTGTTGACGTCACTTTTTTCAGAAAAACGCGCATTTTGCCGGAGAGCAGTGTGAGAGCACGTGCTGGGCACCGACCTTGTAATGTAAAGCCCGGCCAAGTGCACGAGGCAAAACTTTCCAAAAGACTCGCAGCGCGTGCGTCGTCGAAAAGATTACGTCAACAAAAAATTCCGCCGCAGGCCAATCCATCCCGGAGGTGCACACTCTTGTTTATCTACTCTTGGTAAAGTGCTTTACTACGCCTTCAATTGCTTACAACCTATTCTTAGTTTACAGTGCTTGAAGTACGCAAGCACATTAAGCACATTAAGCACATTAAGCACATTAAGCACATTAAGCACAGTATTATCTGGCGGTTATAGTATACGGCATTTCTAGTACATGTGCCGCCAAGGCCAATGTCACGAAAGATCAAGTAGCAGCGCAACGCAAAATGAATAGTCCTGCAGTCGCTGCTGGCATCTGTATGAAGTCCAAATATAGGGATTAGCTCTGCCTACACTGGACTAAATAGAGGAAGAGATGCAGTAACAGTTGTTTCACGGTACACTGCAGTGCAGGCCATGAACGGTTCAACCTTGAAGAGAGCAACAAAAGCGAACATGCCCTTGTCGAAGTGCTAGCTAGGCCCCTGGCCCTGTTGAGTGAAACAAAAACAGGCTGAACTGGCACTTACAGTCGGTGAAGTCCTGAGCTTCATCAACAAGAATGCATTGGCCATCGAACAGGTCAGGTTGTTTCAGTTGCTCCAGTTGACAAACCTTCAATGCCACTATTAAACAACAAAACCACAGCAGCAACACACTATAATGATACACATTACAATAAAGTAGGGTGGAAAAGAGCTGGAAATGATTCTAGGAAATCTACTACCATCGCACTGACAGCAGCAGCAGCAGCAGCAGCAGCAGCAGCAACAGCAGCAACAGCCGCCACCACAGCAGCAACAGCATACCAGTACCAAAATACCAGACTAGCAAGCAGAGCAAGGACAAGCGTGGGGGTAAGCAGCCGCTAATTCACCGCCACCACCACAACACCACCACCATCGCCACCGCTATCTCAACCACAATTTCCACAAACGCTACCACCCCTGTTGTCACCACCACTTCCACCACCAGTGTTCCAGCACCACCACCAGGCCCACCAACATAATCATAAACATCACCCCATCAACTCCATCACCACAGCAGCCAGCACAAGCACCTCCGCTGCCGCTACCGCCACCGCAAGCACCACCGGGATAACCACAAGCAGCAACAACCAGCACCAGCACCAGCATGAGCACCAGCACCAGCATGAGCACCAGCATGAGCACCAGCACCAGCACCAGCACCAGCATGAGCACCAGCACCAGCATGAGCACCAGCACCAGCACCAGCATGAGCACCAGCACCCGCATGAGCACCAGCACCAACATGAGCACCAGCACCAGCACCAGCATGAGCACCAGCATGAGCAGCATGAGCACCAGCACCAGCACTAGCATGAGCACCAGCACCAGCATGAGCACCAGCACCAGCATGAGCACCAGCACCAGCATGAGCACCAGCACCAGCATGAGCACCAGCACCAGCATGAGCACCAGCACCAACATGAGCACCAGCACCAACATGAGCACCAGCATGAGCACCAGCACCAGCATGAGCACCAGCACCAGCATGAGCACCAGCACCAGCATGAGCACCAGCACCAACATGAGCACCAGCACCAGCATGAGCACCAGCATGAGCACCAGCACGAGCACCAGCATGAGCACCAGCATGAGCACCAGCATGAGCACCAGCACCAGCACCAACATAGCACCAGCATGAGCACCAGCACCAGCACCAGCATGACTCCATGAGCACCACTATAACCAGTCCTGGTGATGTCCTAGATAGGACATCACGGAACCCAGCATGCCCCAGCATACACACTATGCTGTTCCCATAGTAATCGTGACACGTGACTCAAAACTTTGTATCGCGTCCGAGGAGATGAACATATCGCACTCAAAGCAAACGCAACGAAGGCCTTTCGTCTCAAAAGTAATTATTATTAGTTGTCGTTCTCCTGGCGGCTTGCCTCAAGCGAGTCGAGATTCGTATCTTGCCTCTTGCCTTCACGAATTTTATTTTCCTCGTTGTGGAGTACGCCTGGACAAATGAACTGGCAAGCGAATCGTTTTGGTCGCATTAAAAATTGCAAGTGCACAAGAGGATTGGCGAAGCAATTTGTGTTCGCACTTTCAGCAGAGCAGTAGCTGCTGCTGCGATAAAGTTTTTACTTTCGCCATTGGTTTCAGGCAGCAGAAGGATCTGGCTGAAAGCGATGGCGATACGTCCATGACCACCACGTCCTGGGTTGATATCCAAGAAAGACCGTCCAAGGTCCAGTTTTAGCCAAGAGCTGTCGTATCCAAGAAATCAAAAACGCCAACAGCAAGCTTTGGCCAAATACTATCTTCCAGGCAGTAATTTACGGGCCTAGCGCCTGCTGCCTCGTCTTCCTCCTCTGCATGGCCAGTTTTGGGGCGAAATGAACGCACGGGGCGTGAAGAAACATTCCAAAGGCAAAATATTCAAAATAATAACCAATCGTTTCCAAAGAAGCGCCGCGTGCACGCGTGGCTACGAGAAACCCCACATGAAATCCCCAAACGAAAACGGCCATTCGGTCGGGTATTCGATGGAGAATCGAATATACACTACCTCAATCCCCGCCGATGTCTGATATTCTCCGCCTATTCCCTCAAACTTGACCAATTCGGAAAGAAATCCATCGCCATTACGATCGTGCATCCTCCACATACATTCAGAAATGCTCACGCAGCACTTCTTTTCATCGCGTGTGCGCGACCGACGCTTCCATGACAACTCTGGGACAGGTAACCAATCAGACTCATTCAGAGTGCGATGTCCTAGATAGGACATCTCCCCGACTGATAACCTGACAGGCGCGTAGCACCACTGTTGGAGGTGATCCGGCCGGAGGGGGGTCGGCGGGTTCCCCCCCCCCCGGGAAAATTTTTGAAACTAGGGTGCAAAAAACGTGGTCTGGCAAAAAAGTGGCCCGGCTGTGGACCGGCTGATACGCCCCTGAACCAGCAGCACCACCAGCAGCACCACCGTAGCCACCACCGATCGTGATACCCGGAACTACGACCACAACAGAAACAACATGCCACATACCTGCCGTTATTAGCTTAGTTCGAGGCTTTTTAGGAGATTGCAAGAGTTTCCGATCAGACGGCTTTTTAGGAGATTGCAAGTGCGGCTTTTTAGGAGATTGCAAGTGTGGCCGGTCAGACTCATCAGGATCCTCCAGCTCCTTGTAAAACCGCTTAGCGTCGCTGACAATGTCCCATAGCAGCTTTGCATGCTTCACTGCATCATCTTCTTTCAGCTGCACATAATATAGAAACAGAAATACAAGAGCATGCATGACATGTTTCAGTACATACGCCACACTTGTATTCCTTTTACTTGTCAAGTACAAGTAAAAACCAGCCAGGAATCCGCTCTGCGACTTATACCCACAAACTGCATGCTAAATTTCATATTTTTGTATACTGAAATTTTCAGCATACAATGGGGGGGGGGGGGGCGGCATATACGAGTACAGGAAAATACCGAACACCATGACATAGCACCAGGAATTTAGTTGTGGGGCCATAGCAGAGAGGTTCATTTTGATGCACACATTGCTCATTACGGTTGTGAGCAATACATACTACACATACTTGATGTTGCCCATCCGAATAAAAGTTAGCTCCAATTAAAATGTCCCAAATCCCTTTCGAACAACATACTGTAAGACCAGATATTTTAACGTCAACTAAAGTTAGCGAACATTGGATTTTTGTTGATTAGCGAGGTGAAATGGTAACGAATTGTCTCCGTCAAAACCTGCAAATGACTGTACAATCATGTACATATCGTTTTGCACATAACGACTTCAAATGTAAATGATTTTTTTTAATTCGAAAAACGCTAGAATTAAATGTTCGTTAATATTAGTGGTCTTTATACAGTATTCTCTAAGTACTGTGGTCTCAGTTAGCCAATATAGAATGCTCAATGCTTCCATAGAATGCTCAATGCTTACATAGCACAGCTGTTCTTCTAGGGGCTCATGTTCACGTATCCAGTTATCAAAGACCTCTTCAGGCAATGCTCTCCGCGCCGCTTCCAGGACCTCGTCGATACTGCGCCTCTGCCGATTATCTGGCAGATACATCCGAGTGCCCGGCAAATGGCGCCTGGAAATCTCAGTGTCAGCCGACGCCATGAAGCTCTTCACAGTCTGAACGACAATCTTCGCTGCACCACGGGCATCCAGTCCCAGCAGATCACGAATTGCCCCAAGCCGGTAATGCAGGTCCTTCAGTTCCAAATCAAATGGATATCTATGCAATGGAGCATGAAACGGGCACATGAACTGGTAATCCAAAGAAGACGAACAGTGCGGGAAGGCAGAAATTCACCTTGACACGAACACCGTGTAAGAATTTCCTATACAAAACATGTGACACATCTCCATGGCCACAGCAAAAACGTTCAGTTCACTCTCAGTAGTGCTAGTGTGAGGTAATATTGCAAATATGTGCACCCTCAGACGCACATTTCAGAAGTACTACAGATACTCTTTGTTATTTTGGTAGCTGGCAAAGCCAATGGCAGCTGCACGTTTAAGTGCACACTATGCTCCAGATGTACGACAAGTACAGTGTATGTGTGTGTGTGTGTGTGTGTGTGTGTGTATGTGTGTGTGTGTGTGTGTGTGTGTGTGTGTGTGTGTGTGTGTGTGTGTGTGTGTGTGTGTGTGTGTGTGTGTCTGTCTGTGTGTGTGTGTGTGTGTGTCCCATATGGTGCAGTGGTATGTGCAGCGATTTCCAATCGATAGGTTGCGGGTTCGATTCCCGACGATTATGGTCACACACGTCTTTCTTCTCTTTCTCAGACTCCTCCTGACTTTTCTTTCATTCTCCTGGGTGGTTACCAACAGCCAGTGCATGCCGGAGTATGTGGTGTGATGTGTGTGCGTGAAAGAAATGAAAAAATGAAAAAGACCAAAAAGTAGGGATTCACTGGCCAGAAAAAGCCACTTCATAGCTGTGTGGTGTAGACCAGGCTGAATAGTGGCGGTCAATTCTTCAGCCTTGCAAGCTGTTGAATGGTGCAATCCCAGCACAAGCTGCTATGGCTTCTGCTGTAGCATCGCTATCATCGCCTCCGGCGATGGGCGTCCAATGGTCCAATGGTGTGTGTGTGTGTGTGTGTTGGTGGTCGATTCACATGGCTTCGCCAGTTGTGTGGATTAGACAGTTACCTGGCGCAAGTCTTGATCTGTCTCATTCGGATCTTGTTCGCTATCGTTGCTATAAGAGAAAATCTGTGGGTGCACATCCAGTGCATTTGCAGATTTGCGTGCTTCTCTTGCGACGGGCGTATACATGGTGCATGGTACATGGTGTGTGTGTGTGTGTGTGTGTGTGTGTGTGTGTGTGTGTGTGTGCGCGTGTGTGCATGTCTGTGTGTGTGTGCACAAGACAACAATGTGAGCACACTCTCAGTCATTGTTGGCATACTCTAGAATTCCTCCTCACCGCGCGTGAACCAGGGAATGCATAGTGCGACACTGTACGTCCACAAACGTATTAAAATTCTTCGCTGCTTCTTCTTGAATTGACCTGGAAATGTACAGACATGATCATGTACACAGAAATGCTTAAATGAGCGCAAAGATATGGTCTAACTCCAGAGAATGAGTGCCTAATTATTTATTATTATAGAACTCGGTACATGTCCAGGATACATCAAACTGACAAAAGAAAAAATTAAAACGAGATAGGCAGATAGTAGTGGCGCATAGTGTGAGTCGGGAATGTCACTAGGATGGCATTTGTAACCAACAAACAGCACATTGAGATGAATACTGAAAGTCAAGAGTACACACAACAAGGACAACATACATGTAGTGGAAGATTAGCTGCATGGGGTACATCAGCCTGCCAACGGTCATCTCTAAGGGCGTGTTTGGTTGGTACGAACTAGAACAGGATTCACCAGAACAGGGCGTTTGGTTGGGACTGCACCTGTTCTGGGTCGGCCAGAACATGTTCTGCTTGCTCCGGCCTCGAGGCCGGAGCAGACCGAGCAGTTTCACTTTTTCACAGTGAAACCTGGCGGGAACATCGATTTTGGTCCCAAATGATCACGTGCATACGCTTTGGGGTTGGACTCGTTGTACCGTACAAAGTGACCATGGTGACCCATACACATTTTGAAGAGTGCACCAAGTTTGGCACATTTTCCCACAAAATGTGCTCTGTTTCTGGAGTACCGTTTGGTTGGCATGAGGCTGCTCCATGTGCACCAGCTGTTCGATCCTGTTCTAGATCGTACCAACCAAACGCACCCCAAGCAGCAATGATAAAAAAAACACCTTTCAAAGGAAACGGGTCAAGCCAGGACTAACGCCGAGACGCTGCACATCCATACATGTAGGCACACGCCTGCTCATTCACACTTCTGTCACCATACCGTCCCGCAAAAACACACACACACGCGCACGCGTGCACACACACACGCACACACACACACACACACACACACACACACACACACACACACACACACATACATACATACAGAGTTGACACTACTCACTTGTTGAAGGAGACGTAGAGAATGTAGTATGATGGTGATGCCCATTTTCGAAT